GGGGAGGGGCGCTCGGGTCTCGCCGGGCCGGGGCTTGTATCTTACCCCCTTCGCAAGGTGCTGGGTTCTTGCATGTGTGGATGTGGTCTGGATGTTGTCCTGTGTCCTCTGGTCTCTATTTTAGGAAGAGTTTTGTTTGTTATATTTTCATAGCTCTATGTGTTTTTGGGAGGAGATTTCCACTGCTCTACTCACGCCGCCATCTTGGCTCCGCCTCCTGGAGTTATTTTTTGAATAGTGTTAACTCACTTTTTAAATTAAACTTGTTGTGATTAAAGGTAACACATTTTAATTGTAGAAAATGCATTAAAATGATAAAGATGGATGTTGTAAGACAATTTTCGATATTTTAAAATGAACCCATTAAGCTGATTCACATTTCTTTCTAGGGGTAGGTGGGGGGAGGTTGAAGTACAGTGAACATGTAATAAAGTAACAGATGAATAAATGGGAATAGAGTGACAGATTGGGTACAACCCTTGTATTTTTAGGAAATGTAGCATGCAGGAGCATCCTCTTCTCTGCCTCTCTCCTTCCTTCCATCATCCTCTCCTCACCTCTCTTCTTTTCTCCCCTCCCTCCCCACTTCCACCACACCCCTCCCTCATGAACAACAGGTCCTTTTAGTATTTATAGACGGACTGGATGACTGTTTAGAGAGACTGAAGGAAATATCTGAGCTTCTCTGCAGCAAAGGTACGTGCACCGTGTTGCCCTATGTGGGCCTTGTTCCTCAGCCCGGGCTGAGATGGTCTCAAGATTCCCAGGTGGACGGCTCTGGGCTGACTATCCTGAAGAATAAAGGTCAGGTCCTTCACTAGCAAAAATGGGTTTATTTGGGAAGGCAGAGAATTGCAATTCAGGGCATATAAGCTACAGCAAAACCGTAGGCAAGACCAACTAAGGAGGGGAACATTATTTTATGGGGCAGAAGGAGGAAATGCAGAGAGGCTGTTTGAACAGCAGCCCCTTGGGGAAAAACAAGAGTCCAGTGGGTGACAGTTTCTCCTTGGCTAGGTTGCAGGTCATTTAATTTCTTGTTGGAGATGAAATGTGCATTTTCCACAGGTTGGGCCTTTAATGGACTATTCCTGCCTGTGGGTGATTCTTCTGTGGGTGGCTGTAGTGGGCAATTCTTCCTATAATCGACTTGGAGGGCATGACTCCCCCTTCTAGAAACCCGACTCCACTTGACGAGATTTCCGTGTTGACTTTCACAGATCCTGTTAAGCCTCCTGTACGCTAACCCCGTGGGGGGAGCCCAGTGCTGAGGCTGATATCCCGTCTCCCTCTTTGTATGAGTCAGGGGGCTCTGTGGGGCTGACAGAGCCCAGAGCTACACCCCCTGCCACTGACCATGGGTCTCTCAGCCTGAGAGAGTGGGGGCCAATGCCAGCCCAGCATCTGCCCGTGAGAGGGGAGTGCAGCCCCTACTTCCTGGTGCGTGGTTTGCTCTTTCAGACTACCCAGGTGCCCATACAGCTCTTTTCCCTAAACTTTGGAATCATCCTACACTGAACTTGCTTTTCCCACTGCCCTTCCTCCCTCTTTTGCTCCCTAATTCTCCCTCTCTGTCCATCTCCAAGAGCTGCGGGGTGTCTGCAGAGCACCCGTGTGAATGTAGAAAAAGATGTTTCAGGCTCTGAGTCGGTGCAGCCCTGTGCCTGGCCCCCCGCCTGGTGCCTGGCATGCTGGCTGGACGTCGGCTGGATGTCAGCTGGCCGTGCTTGCCCAGGACCACCTGCACACTGCCTGGAGCTGTTTGGGCCAGTCCCGTTTTGTGCCACATAAAGGTTCTGAGACAAACTCAGGATGAATGACCAGCAACACCACTTGCTTAGGCCCCTTCGCCCTTCTCCCACCCTGGCGGGATGTGCTTGGGTATTCCTCTGGGGGTGATGTTGGAATATGCTGAAATATTTTTTGTGACATTCTGCTCCCACCTGAATTCACTGCATAGATTGCCACTGGAAGTTTAAAATGCTGCGACTTTTCTGGAAGGGAGTCTGGAATATATGACAAAGACTACAGATGTTGCCTACGTGCTAGATCGGTATTTCACTTTCTGGAATTTATTGTAAAAAATAATTAAGAATATGTATACAACTTTTAACCACAAGACCAAAGCAGCTTGTTTATAACAGTGAAAGGCCAATGGGTGTGTGTGTGTTTGTGTGTGTGTGTGACTGTTCAAAATACTAACAGTAATATTTGTTGTGAAGTTCTACAAATGGTGATTTCAACCAGTTTGCAGTGTCCATGTCCATTTGTTATGTTATGTGCACAAATTAGATGATCTAGGTTCCACGTGGGTGGGGTAGGCTCAAGAGGCTGCAGTAACAATTTTCAAATCCCAGTGGCTTAAACTAGCAAGAAGGTATTCATCTCTGCCTCCTCCCTGTCATTAAGGACCCAGACTGGAGGAGGGGTCAGTTCTTGTGGCAGGGGAAGGAAAGGGGCAAATTATGCACTACTCTTAAATTTTGGCCACACACACACACACACACACACACACACACACACACACACACACATCACTTCTGCTCACATTTCACTGGACAGAGCAAGCCATATAGACAGGTTCTAACCTTCATGAGATAGAGAATATTATTACCGGTAAGCAAGTGAGGTTTAATGGGAGTTTATAAATTTCCCAAAGAAATGGAATCCCATCATGTGCCCTTAAGGAGTGGAGCCAGAATATCAGTGGCTGGTCCCGCTGACCACCTCGGTTCCCAGGAGGAAACCACAGGTCTATGTCAGCAGTGGCTTTACGGGATGGTGCTTAGTGCGGTGAGCCCTTTGGGAAATAGAGGCTATGAGAGAGCTGTGGCAGCCCTCTGTGGTTCCACCTACCTGCTTTACTTTCATCTGGTGGGACTGAAAGGTACCAGACCAATTCTTCATGCACAGTGACCTAGATTTGATTCAAAAAAAAGGATGCAGTTTTTGACAAGACAGGTAAAGGGTATAGGAATTAGTATGATGGGTGAATATCTGGGGCTCGGACAAAAAAAGCCCATTTAGATGAGATGACATGCGAGTAAATTGCCCACCCACTGGTATTTGAAGGATTCTCTGGACTCCTCATTATTGGCCTGGAAGGTGTGCATAAATTAGAAGAGTTCCAGGAGCTAGAATTTGGCAGAGGATTTGCATATAATCAGCCTCTGAGCACCACACTGCGATCCCTCCCAAACATCTTACTGAAGCAACTTGTACTGAAGTACTGAAGTACTTTTTATAAAATTCCATCTATCACTAGGTCTATTGATTATAATAATTTTTAAAACCTTGAGAGAATTTTGCCTCTTTAATGTGTGATGTGATGTAGGTTAACACAGATGAAAAAAGCATATGTGATATGGATTCTGTTTTTTAGGACACAGTTGCAGAAAGAACATGCTGCAATAGATATGCAGAATGCTTTGGAGAAGGTGGGCACAGAGGTGATGGTGGGCACTTCAGGAGGAAGGTGAGTATTTGTTGGGTGTGGATGGGAAGAGAAGTGACATTTCAGTGTCCACTATGTACCTGGCCCTGTGTGATGTCTTTAGCACACCTTTTAAAATTCCACCTTCCTCACAAACCTTCTAGGTAAATGTTATCTTACAGGTGTGGAATTAAGGCTCAGAGAGGGAACATCACTTTCCCAAGGTCACACAGTCACCAAGAGGCATTTGGCATGTGAGCCCCCACGTCTACCTGGCTCCAAGTCTCACGCGCTTTCCTCTATCTTACGCCATCTGCTTATGTTTACTTGACAAATACTTCCACAGATTCCATCACCGCATGGAAGTTTTCACTTGTCTGTACAGTTTTCGTTTGTTTAGTATCTGCTTTCTTTCCAGGAGTTGGTGCTTCTTTCCCTCCTGACATTCTGAGTGTCAGCCTTAAGGGGGTAATTAAGCCAAAGCCATTATTTGGGATTGAAGAGTTGCAATTCGGGGTACACAGATTTCAGCAGCAATCCAAATGTGTCCCTCTGGGGCAAAAGTCAAGGGTTTTTAAAGCCAAAAGGGAAAGCTTATATGTGCTGTTGACAAAGGATTTTGATGGGCGCTGGTGGCAGAAAGCTGACCTTGACTGAGGAGGATGGTGTGCGAGGCAATCCCTAAGCGGTCTCTGCAGCAAGGTGCAGGTGTTTGCACGGTGTCCTTAGAATATTTACAGTCTGGCTCAGTTCTCAGGGCTCCTCCTGGTGAGGATGTGCGTGAGGTCCACTTCCTTAGCGGCCGCCCCACTCCATTCTAAAACCCTTTGTCATCAGGGACTCCACTTCACTCCATCTTTCACATATATAATAGCACTACACTCTGAGGAAAGAGAAACTCATTGGGTCACTAGTGGTTAATCTGCATCTCTCTGTTAACTCCAGGGTTAAGTGACAGGAAAATTACTGCTCCCCTCTGTTAGGGGAGTATATCTCATCAGAAATGGTCCTCAGATATCCAGGGACACAAGGTTCCCTTCCCACAGGGACCACAGCTTCAAGATGGGAGTGAAGCCACAGGTCCATGTGTGAGGCTGAACCCATCCCAGTGGCTCTGGCCACCTGTTTATATTCTTGCCTTGTAAGGTTTTCTGTGAGGTTGTTTGAATGAGCCTTATTGACTGTGTGGATCAATCTTAATTTAGAACAGTAAAAAGTGTAAAATTACCTTTTGAAATATGAATTGTGGTTATGCCTTTAAGTACTAGATTTTATCCCCTCATACTGTCCTTAAATATCAGACTGGAGAATCAGAAAATCAAGCTTGGAAACCTCTTGAAGTGTTTTTTTGGCTACTGAAGGATTATGCCTCAAAGGCTGAAGACAGGGATGGTCTGAGTTGTTGACTTCTCCGCTCTGTTTTTTACAGTTTACTGGTTGGTTGTATTAACTTTCATATCTTTGTTGAGCACAAACAGATGATGGCTCTCAAATCTTACTGACCAGTTTTCAGACTAAATAAGCAAATCTGGCTATATAATGTCAAGCCAAACTTCCTTGACAGGAAATGGTTTGTGGGTTTAGTTTTCTAAAGAGAAGTAAAAAATAAAAGAGACAAAGACTCAATAGCTGAGTCATACAGAAATACACAACCATTTCTCAGGAATAACATGGTCAGTGATACCTTTGCTTACTGACATTTTGCAAAACAAGGTCAAAGGTCTCTTTAAGAGTAAGTTTTCCTTAAACATTTAACTAGAGTTCATAGTTTCACAGTAGAATGGCTTAAAAAGGTATATTCGAAAAATAAAAATAGGTTTGTATACAATTAAGATAGATATTCAAGTTTTCACTTTAAGAAAGACCAAGTATTTGTTTCTATATGTTTCTGTGCATGATGCTCAACATTTAGTAGAGTCTCAATAAAATATCAACTCAGTGAGACAAGGGTATCTGTTAATAACAATTTTTATTGCATGTAAACTTGAGAAATAAAGAATTTAGAATCCACATTATTTGTTTTGACTCCTTCCCAGGAGAGAAGGGTTTTGATGGAGTACCTGATCATCCTGGTGAACAAGGAGGTCATCTAAGTACTGAATCTTATTTTTTTTTCTTTGAAGGACTATAGTAAAATGGGTAAAGTATTAGCAATATAAATGAACTTACATCAGGAGAATTGTTCTCATCTGTGCCATTTAAAATGGGTTTAAAATATCTCTATAAAAATAACCATCAAGCATAACAATGTCAGGTGGGCAAACTTTGTAAGATATGGTCCCTGGAAGGCGTCTCATGATGAGAATGGCTGTTGTGCTTTCCAGGCAGTGAGGTGGGGATGACTGGAAATGCGGTCTGTGTCTTATGCGCATGAATGAAATAGTAGTTGTTAACTGTGAGCTGAAGTGCAGGTAGTTTGTTACTATTAATTAGGTAGTCATGTTTGTAAACAGTTGAACAGAATTATTGAAGAGAATCAAGCCCATTCTTACAGAAAGATTGTTCAGATGTTTCCCTGAGTGGCCAAAAGTGTGTTGGAATTCTGATCACCCACCAGCCGTTTGCATGTAGTCCTGGATTCATCCCTGGGCAAGGGTCAGTATCTATCATATGATTGGTTGTGGAGAAAAATGTATACTAGAGAAAAGTGTTAGCAGGGGGACTGAAATGTGGTAGGAATCATCTTTACATCATATATGGACAAAAAGGATTTTAAAACCCCTTCATCTTTAGCTGATTTTAAATGATAGAAAACCGTGTGGCCACAGGTGTCTATTCTAAAGTTGATTTGTATACACCACTGGTCCTCAGACATTCTGGTCTCAGGGTACCTTTGCACTCTCAAAGACTTCTGAGGGCCTCGAAGAGCTTTTGGTGAGGTGGTTTCTATCTGTAGATATCTCCACTTTAGAAATTAAAATTGAAAGAATTCTAAATTATTTATTTTATATCAAAGTAATAAAAATAAACCCTTAACATGACATATTCCTTTATGAAAACTAAATGTATTTTCCAAAACAAAATGTGTTAGTGAGAACATGACATTGTTTTATGTATTTTCAAAAGTCTTTAATGTCTAGCTTTCTAGAAGACAACTGGATTCATGCTTCTGTGTTCAGTCCTCTGATACCATTTGCTTTGTAGCCCCTTACAAATGCTACTGTACACTTAGGAAAGAATAAGAATAAGAGAAGAAAATAACATGTTAGTGTAATTGGGAGGAGAGTTTTGACTTTGCAAGCACTCCCTCCCAGAGGGCCTTGGGGACCAGAGGGGTTTTTGGGTCAAACTTTTCAAATCACTGGTTTATGCAAGCATTAATGTTCCCATGGCTCCATTTAGGGTAGCACATTGTTTTATTATTCCGAAATTTAGCGTGCTTGAAGTTGGAAAATAAGCAGAAATTAGAGAAAAATGGCAGCTGCTAAGACTTATGCCAATCCATTTCTTTGATTACATTTACAGGAGAATTGCTCAACCTTTCTTTCCATATTTTGCCTCAGTAAGCATAGTCTTAGAGGTTAGAATTATATTCAGAAATGTGAATGGTGGATTTTTGCTATTTTTGTTTAGATGCAGTAAAAATATTCCTACCCATTTATATGATATTTTTAAATGTCTGTAAGTATTATTTTATTTTTTTCTGGTTGGCCTGTGGTTCAATGAGCCTGACCAAACTTATGAGAATAATTTAAGGTCTGACCATTAGGATCATTTTAACACCAACTTCAGAAAAATAGGATAAACAAGCCCTTGTCTGTCTAGGGTGGGACATGATTTTGTCCCCCTTCTCTGCTCTCTTAACTTCCTAAAACCAAGATATTTTACAAAGATCCTCTAGGAAATACGATGTGAGTGACATATGTAATTTCATATAATTTAAAATTTTATAGTAGCCATCTTAAAGCAGAAAGAAACAGTTTTAATAATATATTTTAACTCAGTTTATCCAAAGTATAATCCTTTTAGCATGTAATTAATATGAAAATGGGAAAGACAGCTTACTTTTTAAAGTATACTGTTTTTGAAATCCAGCCCGTTTGCAGCTACAGCAGATCTTAATTTGGACTTGACACATTTCAAGGGCTCAACAGCCTCCTGGGGCAGCGGCCCCTGTGTCTGCCATCAGGCCACCACCAGGGCTCCTTTTTCATTTTACTGCATTTCCTGTAAGAGAAGGTAACTTCAAAATATGTTGTCTTCTGAATGGCTTTTAATGTCATATCCCCAAAAATCAGGTCAGGAGGGTCTGCTCAATGGCAGAAATATCTCTACAGATGGACAGGTTTCAGAATGGGGCTTGTAGCTGTGGATTTAAATTGAAAGTGTATAAGGAAAAATAACCAACTCATTGTTCCAGTCATCTACTACCCCCAAAAGAAGCCCCAGTGGTATAAAACCACCACCATATGATTCTGTGCATGGTTCTGCTACCGAGGAACCGGAATATGGATCAGCTGAGTGGCTTGTGTCCAGTGTCTGGGGTCTCAGAGGGTCTGCGCTGGGCTGGGCTGGAGGATGACTGGGGAGGTGGCTTGCTCCCACGCTCTGGCTCAGCTGGGATGGCACAAGGAGAGCCCAGTCTGCCCTGTATGGTGGGCTGGATCTAACAGGGGCACCCAACAGGGAGTGCCCCTTCTGGGAGACAGCATTCCGGGAGTCCAGGGCTGAGGCTGCAGGTCCTCTGAGCAGGCCTCAGGAGTCAGGCAGTGCCTTGTTGGCCACATCTACCACACACTAAAGTCACTAAATCCAAACCAGATTCAAGAGGAGAGTGGGTTCTGGGCAAGGCGGAGTGCCAGGGTCACAGCAGAAGGGATAGAGATTTTGCCGTGGCCATCTCTGGAAAAACACAACCCGACAGACTTGTGAATTCTATGTATTTTCAAAACTTACCCTTACTACATGGTTTAAAAATGCATTGGTTATGCATCAAAGCCTTAATTATATATCAAATTAGTGAGATTATCTTAAGGTCACAAAAAATGTGACTTCTGTAGTAACGAAAACAGCTCACATTTGTTGAGAGCTTCTCATGTGTCAGATGCTCACTAAAAATTTTATATACCTTTCTTCATTTCATGTATAAAGTAAGACATTATTGTTCATTATTGCTCTCCTTTCTCATAAAAAAACTTGAACCAGCTTAGCATTTGAAAAACTTTTGGTGATGTTATTCTTCCATGAAGCCTTGGCTATAACTGATAGCTCTGAGCGACTGCTGTGAGCTAGCGGGAGACCAGTTTTGTTGTTGTTTTTCCTTGTTTTTTTCTGTATATGTTTTATCCTTTATTATCATTTAAGTAATATGCTTTAGTTGCAGAAATGGTGGTGATTTCTGAGATCCTTTAAAACCCATGTTCTCACTTTATCCCAGAATTCCACGAGTTAGCACAGCAGGTGACAGCATGCTCACCCATACCGCCTGTGGCCCTGCCCATTTCACATGTGTGAAAACTGCAGCCCCCAAAAAGAGTACATCTGGAATGGGGTCACAAAGCAAGTTGATGAAACGGAAGTTACTGGCCTACAGTGTTTGACAAAGACGTGGGGGGGGGGGCAGGTGTGCATTTCCTATCACATGCTCTAACCACTGCTTTGCATAGCTTGCCACCGTAAAGTCAGTGTCCCCTGGGAGACATGGCAAAAGAGCCCTTGCACACATTTCTGGGCTGTATTTTCCAAAGGTGAAGTTTAGAACTTAGTATCTGAATGAGAAGCACAGTAAAGCCGTTTTCTTGTTTGTCCTCAAAATAACATAACATATGTGCCCATTATAGGGCAATTCCCATTTTCTTATGAGAATTTCCTACAAAATATTTTTGCCCAATTAGAATTATGAACTTTTAGGGATATAGGTGAACTAGACAGATGTCTACTTAATATATTTAGTTACACATAAGCATTTTAAAGTCTTTCATTTTGTGAAATGATATATTAAATTAGAAATTCTGCTTTTTCCTTTTCCCCCATATTTTATCAAACCATTTTATTGAAAAGTCCTTGCATGCATTTCCTACATCAGTTTCCTCAGCACCATGGGGGCCACTTCTTGGAAACATCTCCCCTGGTTTTCCCAAGTTTGTTATGGTCACTTCCGTCTGACTCGGTTAAGGTAAACCACTTCCAAGTCTGTCTGTGAAATCTGTCACTGCAGACTTTATATCCAGCTCAAAAACCCATTGCCTCGTTTTTCTTTAAAAACTATTTTTATGGTCTCCACAATGCAATCACAAATTCTATTGCTTATAAATGTGATATTTTAAAAGTCCTGTTTGCATGGCATCTAACATTGGAAATTGTGAGGTCTTGAAACCATATCCCACAGGGTTAATTCGGGTTGAAGACAACCGAAGAATAATAGTTTCAGAATGTGTCAAGCTAATTTCTCAGAATCAGTAGGAATTCAGGGGACTGTGAGAAACTGAAACTGCTTGCAACCTGCCCAGACCGGACTGGAGAAACATTTCCAGAAGTCAGCTAATCACTTTTCCTTATTACCTTACTTAAGTCTCCACCTCTGGGCAGGGGTTAGCCACAATTTTTAGAGCATACAATGTATAAAGTAGCTTGTTAACTTCCTGCAACACTCCAGGCAGGTAGTGGAGAAAAGTACTGCCCCAACTCTGTTAATTTCCTGTTAATTTCACAAACCTTGTTAAATATGCATGAACTCTATTAACTATACATAAAGCTTTTGAATAAATTCTGCACTCCCTCAGAATTCAGAGACTGATTTGAGCTTTGCCTTCTGTCTCCTTGCTGGTCAGCCTTGCAATAAAGCCTTTTTCCTTTATCAAAAGATGGTGTTCTGTATTTGGTTTATGGCTCACTTGGCAGCAGACCCTTGTCCAGTAACAGTCTCACCCTCAAATATAATAAATAATCTTTCTTTGATTTCCTTACTTCCTTTCTTTTTCTTTTTTCACTGATCTGGTAGGTGACTTCCATAAGCATCCTATAAATATCTCAAATTAACCCTGACTAAGGGGCAGTAGGATGCTGTTCAAAGCTAAGTAATAGAAAGAGTCCTGAAATACAAAATGCTCTGAGGGCTTTGTGAAGACTCAAATTTAAGAATACTCTTCTTCTGAGGACTAGTTTTGGGAAACACATACCTACCTCTGTATGTAAAGCAATTGAAAATTTAGAAACAGAAGTAATAAGAATTTTTTTTCTTTATGATTTTCTTTGAAATAGTTAATTGTGGTAAGATATGCATAACAAGATTTGTGATCTCAACCATTTTTAAGTGTACAGTTAAGTGGTATGAAGTACATTCACATTAGTGTGCAGCCCTCACCACCACCCATCTCCAGAACTCCTGTCTTGCAAAGCTGAAACTCTGGCCATGAAACACTGACTCCACATTTCCTTCTCCCGCTCCCCCAGCAGCCACCACCATTCTGTTTCTGTCTCTATGAGTTTGACTACTCTAGGTGCATCCTTAATAGAAGCACACAGCATTTGTCTTTTTATCTTATTTCACTTAGTGTAATATCCTCAAGACTCGTTCATGTTGTAGCATGTCAGAATCCCCTTCCTTTTGAAGGGTGAATACTAACCTATTGTATGTCTGTGCCACTTTTCTTTTTCTATTTACAAAAGACTCACTTTATAGCCAAGAAACAAATAATTTGAAAGTGAAAGGACAGTGGAAGATATTTCATGCAAATAGTAACCAAAACTGAGCTGGGATGATTATATAAATATAAGTCAAAATAGATTTAAAGTTAATATCACAACTGATAAAGAAGGGTATTGTATATTGATAAAGTGTCAATCCACCAATAAAGGCATAAAAATAATAAACATACCCACATGTAACAGAACCACAAAACATATGAAGCATAAGTTGGAAACATTTTTTGGGAAAAATGGATTATTCTTCAATAGTTGGAGACTGTAATTTCCACTTTCGATAGTGAATAGAATAAATATACAGTTTATCAATAATGAAGTAGAAGACTTAACACTATAAAACTGCTTGATGAAACAAACATATACAGAATGACCCACCCCAGAGCAGCAGAAAGGATGTCCTTCTCAAGGGCACAAGGAGCATTCTCCAGGATAGACACTGCTCTACCGCAATACAAGTCTCAATAAAATTTTAAGAATTTAAATCATACAAAGTACTTTATTTGACCAGATAATTCATAAATGTGACATCTCATTTTTGGCGACTTTTGATTATATTTCTCATTTGTGTTGACATTTATCTGGCTTTATGTATAATGAGTGATTTGAGGTGATATCCTGAGGCTTTTGAGTATTATGTTTTGAAACTGTGTGCCACTTTTTGTTTATCCATTTCATCTGTCAATGGACACATGCTGCTCCCTCCTCTTGGCTAATGTGAATAATGCTGCTATGAATGTGGGTGTGCAAATATCTCTTTGAGACACAGCTTTCAATTCTTTGGGGTACTACCCCCAGAAGAGGAATTTTTGGACCACATGGTAACTATCTTTTTACTTTTTTGAGGAAGTACTATACTGTTTCCAAAGCAGATGCACCCTTCTGTACCCCCACCAAAAATTCCTAGGAGTCCCAACTTTTTCACATTCTCACCAGTACTGTTTTTTATTTTGTTTTGATAATAGCCATCTGAGCAACCATACTAAGAACTTTTCTTTGGTATCCCTGCTTTCTCAGGGACATTTGTTTTGCATATAGTGATTGTTTTCTTAAAATAATTAGATTGTTCATGATTGATGCTTCATAACACTTATGTTAGGCTTTAGTTTTGCATATGAAGCTTAAGCATCACACACTGAGCCTAAAAATGCATGTGGACCAGAAAGCAGTGGGAAAATAGACATTTATTTGGCGCCTCCCATTTGTTAGGCCCTGCGTTAGGCAGTGTGTATACATTATGACATTTGATCTTCATCACAGCTCTAATGGTAAGTGTCAATGCTTTCCTCTTATAGACATGGGAACAGAAACTCAGAGAGAGCACGGGGCTTGCTTAAGTCAGTCAGGAAGAATGGAGACGCGCCCAGACCCTGTCTGTCTGATTTCAAACCCTGGGCTTTTCTCATTTTCTGTTCGTGTGAAGCACCTCACTTGTCCAATCCATGCGGCTGGTGAAGTAATTTCAGTACAGTATGTCATACATTCAATCCAATCCCATGAATGGTTAGAATCAGTATTATCCAGGTCCACATTTTAGTTCATCATTTAACTCAGGACACTAATTCACCGAGCCATGTGCTTCTCCAAGCCCAGGCAGCAAGCGGAAAGCTTGGGGCTTGAACTCATTCCAGACCCCGAGTGCTTCTTACATCACCAAGCTCCCTTTCACTGTCCTGGGCTGCTTATGTAGGGAAGTTACCCAACCTCATTAAGTCAAGGTGAGATGTTACGTTTGTAGACCCTCTTCTGATGAAAGCTCACAGGATGTATAATACTTTCTTAATTTATATTCAATCAATTTGGCAAAAGGTATGGTACTTCCAGTCCCTTCCCTATTCAACACCTGTATCAAAAGTTACATTCTCTGATATAATTCAGTAAGTCATTCTTCATATCCCGTTGGTCGACTGCATGCCAGACACTGCCCTTAGGGCTGGAAACTCAGAGATAAATATATGAGACACTGTGCTTGTCTCCAAGAAACTCACAATATAGCAGAAAACAGTGTAACACAAAAATAGACAATTACACAATGTAACAGGAAAAGCTTCTCAGAAAAGGAGGTGACATATGGTTTATGCCTTAGGAGTGGCAGGATTTCACCTAGAAGACAGAGTTAAATAGGGGTTTATTCTTTGTAGGACCACAAGGAAACCTGCATCAGTTTTAGCCGCCCTGAGGCAATGTTTGGATGCCCCTTCTGTGTCTGCGGCAGGCTGAGGTGTCGCCCATGTGGCTAGACTGAACTGATTATAAATACAGGTAGTTCAGATTTGTGTGATTTAGGGTCATCCATGTGGGCAGTTTATGGATGAACATTAATGGTTGCCTTGCAGGTATCTGATCAGGTCTTTGAGGATGTGGAAGTAATTGCACAGACCATGTCACAGTTTAGTCATGCTGACCATCATTTCTGCTGGTTTGAGTAGGTTGAGAGGTGATACAGGTAGTTGCTTGACTGTCTCCAGGTGCATCATTATTCCACAGGGAGAAAGAGGCCCCCAGGGTCCTCCTGGGCTCTAAGGTGAGGACAGATGCCCAGGTGTGAGGGGACCTGAGTTGAGAGTGGCCTTGAGCTGTAGGATCCTTTATCTAGCTCTGCTTTATCCCTTGAGAATGAGGAAGATGTTACGTCTTCATCATTGCAATGGCATTTTTTCCTTTTCAGACTGAGGGTTTCCCAGAAGGAGAGCCTGAGAAAAGAAGTCAAATGCAAATACTCTCTTGGGAGGGATCTCAGTAAATACTAGTAGGGGAGCACAGGAGGTAGATAGGGAGGGAAGATGGCCTGACAAAGTACGTTACCGATTAAACTGCCACGGCGGGGAGATGGAGCCTCCACCTGCAGAGAAGCAGGCAGCTGGTGTCTGCACACAGCATGACCCAGGGCCGAGGGAGCTGCGGTTTACACACCATGTCCTGTCAGGCATTAGTTGAGGGCTACCTTGAGGGGGCATGAACTTCTCAGCACTTCTAGTCTGTCTTGCATGTGGACAGCCTCCGGTACCAGAAAAACACCTTCAGGAAAAGGGTCACAGTGCTGGCAGTTGGATGGTGGGCTTGAGAACCCTGAAATTTTAAAGGCTAAAGGAACAGAGGGTAAGGCTGACTTTTTCTGTAGTTGCATCAAATATCTCGTAACCTTCCAGGGTTAGGGAATCTCCTTTAATAAGGCAGAATTTTTTTCCTATAACCTTGGAGTCCTATAGTGAATTTTTCTGACCACAGTGACCATATTCTGTATATTTCAGTAAGTTACTTTTAATTAATTTGTCCTATTGTTCCTGGAAACTTTCTCATGCTTGTTAGCTAGTGTATGCTCATTTTTGTTTGAAAAATATGATTGTTATAATAGTAAGTGGCAGGTCACTGCTGTTTTCTGTTCACCCAATTATGTGAGGAACTGCAAGGTGCACTTTTCTCCAAGTCACAGGCAAACAGGAGAGCTAGTATCAGAAAGGGATGTCCATTGTCGCTGGAGAAATCTCATTTTTATCTAAGAATTGCATTTTCTTGACATTAGGGAGCATATGGTTTACTCAGTGAAATAATGGTTTAAAAGTCTCATTCAAGCTCAGCCCTTTTTATTTCCTCCTATCATCAGGGGGCAGAGGATTTTCAGGAGAAAAGGTAGGTGATGTTTCTTACTCTTCTTAAACTTGGGAAACACAGTTCTGAGTCCACTTCCTTTCCTGTGCCAAGTGACTGGGGGCTTAAAACTTTCAGACAAAGGGGTATGTCAGAGGCCCTCAGCAGCCAAGCTGCCATGCTGATGAATGGCTACTTGTAAGGCACACATTTCAGGTTTAAGGCACGGATGTATATGATGATTTTCAAGTCTTGCTAATGCCATAACAACTGAGCCACCGTATTTATCACATGATAGTGTGGAAGTGTTGGTCCTGAATTCAAGGTGTGCTAGGGAGCGTCTGTTCAAAGTGGGAGTTGGATGGGAGAGGGATGCCAGGACGGGGTCGGTAGGAAAGGAGCTGGCACAGTAAGGGAATGCACTTTAGGTTCAGATTCAGAAGCAGATGATCCATACACACATTCATTCAAAAATATTTATTAGGTACCCCCTCTGGTCCCACATTATCCTAGGGAGTGGCTACAAAGTGATGGACAAGACACACAAGGGCCGATAGAGACTCTATTCTCACCACCTCCTGGTGCCACCGGTTCACCTGCGATGGCCTGTGGCAAATACGTCAAGTAATTTTAGTCTGAGAGTTTGGTATGCTTTTTTTCATGCACTAACTCAGCTGTACTTTGGCTAAAAAAAGAAAATGCCTGAAACTTGATTTCCTTATGAGGGCAGTAGGAGTAAATCAGCTATTGCACACATGCAAATGCAGTTTATTCTGCTTGCAAAATGCTGGGCTTTTTTCCCCCAAAAGATGCTTTACAGTAAATATATTAAGCATCATTTTGAGATAGCTGGCAAAGGAAAGGGCCCCTAAGATGAAAGTGATGGAATGTTCAATGCAATGCAGCTGTGCGGCTCATGGGGCTTGCTCTGACCATCTAATTGGTCTCAGTTTTCAGTTCTTTTCTTAAGGATTTTTAAAATTACAAATCTCCCCAAATGCACACATATGGATACACTCCCATTCAATTTCTCCTTAATCAGAGATCTTCCAAGTTTCCATCTGCAGATTAATTCAGACATATCAGTTTTTTTAAACTGAGCAAAGTCAATGATGAAAGGACTGTCCTTAGCCTGTGGGCAGCTAGCGGGAAGGGTTTGATACCCTCTGGGCAGCAGGTACTTGTTCCCAGCGCAGGATTTTAAAGGTAAGTTTTTCTATCCATTCAAAATGTGAGTTTCTTTTTTTCTTATCTTTTTTTTTGAATCACCTAAAACTTTCAGGAAAAACAGTATACCATGTTAGTGACTATTTCAGGAAGAAAATTATCATTGCTTTTTAATAACTGAATATATTATATGCTGTTACGGAAAGTCTAGATTCTAACATCTGAAACAATATGAACAAGAAAATTAACATCAAAGCAGTAACCAGGTCCATCTGGCCCTCTTGGGGCTGATGTGCCCAATTTCCTTTGCCCCACAGGGAAACCCCAGTGATGAAGGTATTGATGGTTTGGATGGAGAACAGGTACAGAAAGCTGCTCATTCTGTTTTTTCCTTCTATTACTTTGGCATTTATGTTCTCTATTTATACTTTTCATGATTGGTTTAGAAGTTCTAACATGCATACTCGACAGTGTCTAAAGTTAATCTCTATATATTTGTCCTTATCCCCAAAATATAAGGACCCTAGAAACTTAGGTCTAAGCAACTGCCTCCCATATAACATTTTACTGTCCAGTGTTTGGTTTCCATTTTTTTGTAAAATTTTACTAATTAGACATTGTTATTATTATTGTCTTATTAGTCAGTGTTTGTTTAGCTTTACCCTCATGTCTGTTACTTCCACTGATGCCTTCAAAAGAACATGGTTCTTTTGAAGATTGTTTCTTTTGCCTGAGGAACAGCTTTAATTTCATTTAGTGAAGTTCATAAACTCTGGGTTTTTATTTCTCTAAAAATCTCTTTATTTTACTCTTTTTCTTGAATTGTTCTTGGGCAAATAATTTCCCCCCCCACACTTTGAAAGTGTAATTTCACAGTCTTCTGGCTTCCATTGCCTTCTGTCTGTCATTATTTCTGCTAAGAAGTTGTACATCAAACTAATTGTTATTCCTTTGTCAGCAATCTTAAAAAATATTAGGTACCTTTAAAAATTTCCCTTTGTTTCTAGTTTTCTACAGTTTTAATATGATACCTTCTGGTGTGAATTTCTTTTTATTCATCTTGCTTGGAACTTGTTAGGCTTTTGAATCTGAACATTTGTGCCTTATATGAATTTTTAAAAAATCCTTAGAAAATTGTGCTTTGGAATTTTTATCTTTCTCATTTTCTCTGTTATCTCTTTATGGAAGTCTAGAAATTTGTGAGATCTTCTCATTCTATCCTTAATGCCTCTTTTTTTGTTGTTGATTTTTTAATTGAAGTATAGTTAATATGAAATATTATATTGGTTTCGAATATATATTATATACAACATAGTGATTCAACAGTTATCTGTATTATTGAATCTTCCCCTAACTAGAGTAGTTCCTATCTGTCAATATAAAAATATGTTACAGAACTATTGACTTTGTTCCCTACTCTGCACTTTCATACCAGTGACTAATTTATATTATAATTGAGATTTTGTGCTTCTTCATTCCCTTCATCTACTTCACCTGCCTACTCCAATGCCTTCCCCATGGTAACCACCAGTCACTTCTCAGTGTCTATGAGTCTACTGCTGTTTTGTTCATTTTGCTTTTTGTTTTGTTTTTAAATTCCACATGTAAGCAGAAATCATAAGATATTTGTCTTTCTCCATCTGGCTCATTTCATTTAACATAATACCCTCTAGGTCCATCCATGTTGTTATTTCTTTTTTATGGCTGAATAATATTCCATGTGGTATATGTACCACATCTTCTTTATCCATTTATCTATTGATGGACACTGGTAATTTCCATATCTTGGCTATTGTAAATAATGAAGTGATAAATATACAGGAACAAATATCTATGAATCAGAGATTTTGTTTTCTTTAGGTAAACTCCTAGAGGTGGAATTCCTGGGTCATAGAGTATTTCTATTTTTAGTTCTTTGTATTCTCAATGCCCCTTCACCTCTCATATTTTCTACTTCTTTGTATTTTCATGCTGCATTCTGAATAATTTCTTTAGTTTCTAGTTCACTAATCCTTGTTACTTGTTTTTAATATGTCACTTAACTTTGGTTTGTTAATTTCAATTATACTAATTTTCACTTTGAAAAGTTGTATTTGAGTTTTTATCAAGTCTGCTTATTTTTTATAGTTGCTTGCTTTTTTACTCATTCTTCTTTTACTTATTTAGATGTGTTAAGTACACATATTTTATATTCTTGGTATGATAATTTCAATATCTATAGTCAGTGCAAGTATGATTTTGCTCTCTGCTGTCTATCTCTTCAGGCTTCTCCCGCATGTGTCTTGCTTGTGTTGTCACTTAATTGAAGCTCATTTTTGATTGAACTTTATCTCTGAGACATCATTAAGGTCTGAGTTGAAGTTGTTTGCTCTGTCACATACTTTGTGGCACTACCTCCTGGGGCAACTTTAAAATAAATGACCAGCTCGTGGTTTTTCATGCCACATTCAGCAAGATCAGCAGTCTTTAGGACAGTCTGTGGCTATGATTTCCCTGGACTCCTGCTTCCTCTTTATTCTGAACTCTAAGGATTGCTTTACCGGCTCATTAATAGATGTAAAATATTTTTATAAGTGGTATCTGGAATAAAAATTTTTTTTTTTCTAAGAGAAGATTATTCTGGGTATCTAGTCTGTCAAATAGTCAGAAATAAAATGGTAAAGAATCTTTCTACTCTTGGCTAGAATGTGAAATTACATTTAAAAATTTTTTTGAGTGACTAATATAACAAAGATATTTTGGGTGTTTCTTTTTCTTTTTCTAGGATAATCATGGAGTCCCAGGGTCATCTGGAGAAAAAGGACATGGGGGAAATCGGGTAAAGTATGAAAATATTCTTTTATATTTCTACTGCATAAACTGAACTCGATGGTCTATTTTTAAGTTCTGGGAAATAACAGAGTGGCATAAGGACTTGGGAGTTAAAGGCCGATAAATATTGGATGATTATGTGGAACCTTCACTTAAGGCCTGATTCTGCTGATAGTGAAATAAGCAATATACACCTAGTTATGTACCCTTCTGTGCTTCAGAACAGTTATCACCATTCCCTCACAAGCTTTGCAAGGCCCTATTGCTAACTATTTAGTCTTATATCCAAAGCCCTTCAACCACATCCTTCACTAGCTCAGTCAAGAAACGTCCTTTCAGTGAAACTGTACTACTCATTGTCCCCCAAGATTCCTTATGCATGTCCACCACTGTGTCTCAACTCATTCTGGTGCCCCACCCTGGAATGCCCCTTCCCGGCCTCCATCTGCAGTGCTTACTTGAATATCACTTTTTCTTCAGTTGTTTCCACCTCCTCTTTCCTCTTCATCATGCCCCCCTTGACCATGTCAGTCTATAGTGATCTTCCCCTTCTCTACATCTTTCCAGTTCGCATTATCTGTACTGTCTTGACAGTGACTATGTTCCTTGGCATGCTCTTAACTCTGTTTCTTTGTAAGAGAAGACAGATAGCTTCCCTGACAGAACACACCTCCTGCAGCTCTCATGCCCATGGCAGACGTGACTAACCAGTTACAGAGTCCAGCCGGAAGGGTCCACCTCCACACTACCATCAGCTATCTATTGATTGACTGAGTTAGATTAGGGGGGTGACCTTTATTTACTTATGTATTTTGGACCTGCCATGGAATTAGAGTAATGCTTGTCCCCCAAGGTATGGATTGATTTCCTGGTAAGTGAAACAGGGAATCACAAGAAGTGACTCTTTACTGAGGTTTAATTTTCAACATGTCATTTGTGGATCAGATTCTGAAGAAGGTGAAGGACACGACAGTTCTTAATACTGGAGAGCTCAGTTTCCATTGACTTTAATTAAATACAATAAATACCTGTCCAGTGCTTCCTACCTACAAAGCATTTGTCAGACATCAAGAAGGGCTCAGCAGTAAGTCACGGTTCCACCCAGCAAGGACCTGATCAGCTGGCAGGAGATAGAATTGTGCAGGAAGAGCTACAGTACAAGATGGGATGAAGTAAAGGGTTAAGCAGTGTTTCCTCCTCCAATCAATCGTCAGAATTCATTGCGCCTCTGTTGTAATCCAGGCATGATTCTAGAATGGGGAAGAAAACAGGTATGGATTCTGTATCTCAGAACTGGCCTCAGTGGGGAGAGACAGACATTGATGAGATAATCATGTAAATAACTGTAAAGTTACTGCTGAGATAAGTGCACGAAGGAAAGACAAATGATGGGGATCTGACCCAATCTGTACAGTGAAGAAGGCTTGTTGAGGGATTGGAGATGGGATGCAATTTAAATGGTGGTGGAGGTGGGAAGAGCCTGCGGCCATCTCCCATGTAAGGCCCTGAGCCATTTGAGGAGGCGCTCAAGGGCGGAGAGGACTCCGGGATCCCAGGGAGCCTGGGAAATTCAGACACTCTCACTCAGACCTGTGAGGGAGACACAGAGTATTTCAGCTCAGAAGAAGGACAGGCTTAGACCTCAAATAACTCAGTGGATTTGGACAAACAAAGATTCCGGTTCAACAGGAGTGGAGGGTGAGATAAAAGGCATAAAGACTGGAAGGAAAGATTGGCAGGGTAAGTTGGAGTCAATTTAATGCCATGTTTAGGGGTTTTATTTTTTCTACTGAGTGATCAGGTGCTAGTGGAAGTTTCTAGGCAAAGAAGACACATAGTCAGATCCTCAGGTTTGGTAGATTACTGTGTCTGAGTCAGAAAATGCAGGGAGTAGAATTTGAAAAAATCATAATAGGAACTGAATGCCAGGCTCTGTACTCAGCATTTTAATATATTATTCCATTTAATTTCCATAACATCCCTGTAGGATAGGTGTATCTGTTCCACAAATGATAAAATTGAGTCTTAGGGATGTTAAAGAGAGGTGCCTATCTAGTAAATTAAACAGCAGAATTGGAATTTAGAATTAACTCCCTTTTAACATTATAGCAGTCTAGGAAAGAGGTAAGGACGAGTATCAAGTTACACTCTGAGGCGGCTTCTTTTGGAGCCCGGAGGGCACTCATCCCCTCTATGTCTGATGGCCACATCTCAGGGGTCCTACCTCACTGTTCTCAGAGTGTGGTGTACACCCTCCAGAATCAGGCACATGACATCATTTAGGAAAGGTTCCCGGGATGGGGGCTCTTACTGACTGCAGCTCTGCAGGAACTACTGCACAGAGGAAGTATCATTAATGGCAAGGTTAGGAGAAGGACCCGTTTGCTCATCATGCTGTAATGTCATGGCAAATTTTTTCACCTCTCTGGAGCAGTCAGGAGCTCTGGAAGCTCCTTTCAGTTGGTCTATTTTTCATGAGATCTTGCTCTGTTAATGCTGTCCATGTATGTGACCGTGAAAGCTGCCTTTTCCTTACATGTGTCTCTGTCTGGGAGCATCTGTGAGGAGCAGATTGATCAAGGGGTTTGATGCTAGGGAGGCCTGGGTGCACCCGGTTCCCTCCGCTTCTTCATGTACAAATAGGGTAATTCCCAAGTTGTGAGGGCTCAATGAGGTAATGCACACCTAGGGCTGGGCCTATGACAGATTTCCAGTAAAAGTATGTCTTTTCTGCATATCAGCCTCACCTCTCTGGCAGTGAATGGTTTAAAGTTCAAGCACTAAATTGCTCCTTTAATGTGATTTGCATTTTCCTGTTAATCATCTCTTCCTTTTAGGCAATAGGTGATTTTTTAAAAGTGACACATTTTTTTCTTTGTGATTTAAGGGCTTGACTGGGTCGCCCGGACCGCCTGGAGAGCGTGGGGAGCCTGGGCCCAGGGGAGACCCTGTGAGTGGCGGCTGAGGGGTTTCTGCTGCTTTAATCCGGGGCCTGTGAACTGTTTGCTTGGGCACAAAAGACAGAGAGAAATCAGTTATTAATGAAGCATTTGTTCAGCCTGTCCTTGTATTGCAACAAATAAGTGATTTTAGGGGAACCCATCTCACAGAACATTTGGGTTCTTAAAGAGTTTGGAATATTAATTACATCTAGTATTTGGTATTACTGAGCAGTCTCAGACAATTCAAAAGGTCCACTTTGGTGCTTTTCTTTTTTGAAAATCATACTTCCTTACTTTCTTTTCCTCTTTCCTCTCCCTTTGAGGTAAGCACCTTTTATTTTTCTCAGGGGCATCCTGGAATGGATAGTTACATCCAGGGCCTTAAGGGAGAAAAAGGAAGGCATGGCCATCAGGTAAGATGCCCTCTGTTCTTTTGGCAATACTGGGACACATGGGAAGGTGCTAACTGGTGCAGAGGCTTAGGCATTGGTTTGGATCAGCATAGAAAATCAGAGCGCAAACCTATGGGACCCCATTTCCATGCAGACAGGAGCTCTGAATGGTAATCCCCACTTAAGTCCTCATCCTTGCACATGGACTGTTTTCTGTACAAATCTTATCTTCCACAACATGAGTAATAAAATGACTTTACTTCTTTTGTTCTTGGTTTCTTTATCTCCAGAATGAAGGTATGAGACTCAGTGGTGCCTAAGATCTTTCCTGTTTTACAAGTCTCCAATTTTATAATATGTCTTGATTTAAAAGATGCTCCACGTCGTTATACTGATGGTTTGCTTTCCATCCCTGCCATGGTTGATTAACTTGAATTGGGTATTAGCTGTTTTTAAAGATAAGATCCTTGTTTAGTTCTGAAGACTAGAATTGTCCTGACAGAAGATATCACAAATAGGGAATTACCCTATTTGTACATCACTTGCTAACCTGACAGATGCTGACTTGTTGGAAGGCATTTTTAGACTTTTATGTCCTAGACATTAAAATGCATGACTGAAAGATGGCTAGCACAACCTCAGGGCCTCCGCACTCACATCTCATCATTCCCAGTCTCCAGGAATGAGGTCTACACAGCACAATGCTTACAACTATAGAGGAGCCTCTGTTTGTGTTGAACTTCAATTTGCTTCCTTTGACAAAACCTTAGGACATTGGTTCTCCCTGGATGGTGGCTTTTTCGCAAAATCCTGTTTGTGCCAAGGTCATTATTAGGTAACCTGGTGAGAAAACCATGGCTTGCTGCAGGAATTTCTCATCCTGTGGTTAGTTAGTTATTCTGGGCAAACTCCACTGTGAGAGCCCTTGAGCAGCCACTTAATCAGCTGTGGGATTGGGCTAAGAGAATGGCAGGGTAGCAGCCCTTAGCCCATCTGAGTCCCAGTCTCCTCATCTGCAAGGTTTCTGTGAGTTAGTGGTTGTCATGGGAAGAACAGTCACGATCCCTGTGTACACTGAGCATTTGCCCCACGGTTTGCTCATGGCTTTACAGCTGGGAAGGAACTCAGGCCTCCAGGCACACTGACATCACATCACCACAGCCAGGCTCACAGATCTCAGAGGTCTCCATCACTGACATTAGCTAGGGTTAACTCCGGACGTCAGATCTTGGAAACGATCTGCAAACCTCTGAGCCAGTGCCCTGTCATACTGCATTTATGTTCTCCATGATTTCTACTCCTACGCTGAGCTCAAAGAAGGATGGTAACTAAGTATTCTTTGAATAACTTGGATATTAGAAGCCGTTCCTACCAATTACGAAAGACTCCCCTGGTGGATGCTGAAATTCTAGCCTGTTAAGTGTTATTAGAATAGAGCTCTCTAGGCAGCAGTCTTTTCTTGGTTTGGGCTTGCTCCGTTATCTGAAAGTAGAGCGTTGCTGTGAAACTTTTCCTAAGCCCAAATGGCATAAGGCAAGGAGGCTTAATTTACGATTAATTTATACAGAAAGATTTTGAGCTTTCCCAGACCCTCAAAACAACCTCTCTTAGGTTTTTCTCATACGTTAGGACACATCTTGCTGATGCAGGCACAGCATAAACGGAGATAAAGTGCAGACGCTCCCTGACCCAAGTCAGAGCTCTGGCAGCCTGGCGCTGAGATGCTGAGCTTGGTTCCTGGGACAGGTGCTGGGCAGGGCTGCCCTCGCTGTGACGGGGCACACTGCCTCTGCAGCGGTGCACTACAGCACAAATGCTCAACGCTATCTTCTCATAAAAGTGAAAATGCTGTTTGGATTTCTTTTGGTTAGCAAACACAGGTACTGATGTAAGTCTTTTGTAAAAGCTAAGTGGCCTAATGTCAACTTTGAAGGGGCTCACCTGTATTAGTTACGAGTTGGACCAAAGAGCAGACCTGATGTTGCAGTTTGAATGGAGAAAGTGCCCGGATGCAGCAGTCTTCCAAACCAAACCGAGAAACTTTTATTATGTACCTATTGGTATATGGTTATGATAACTGCTGTAGTTATAGTGTTGTAACTCTCTATTAGAAGCCTATACCCTGCTCGAGAAGGAATGGGAAACCAGTCATGCTTTCACACTTCTGAGGAGAATGAAAATAATCCAACTTTTTTTGAAGACAGGCAACATATATCAGTTAGGACTGCTGGTTTTTTAATATACAAGTGACAAAAGCCTGACTCTGTATTTAGCTACTAAATGTGTTCGATAATTCAGGGATGGGGATTTCAGGTGTGGTGTACTAGCTCAAAGAGGCCATCAAAACCTGGTGATGTCATCAGGGACTCTGCCCCTTTCTTTCCACCCAGCTCCTCAGCATGGTCCTTAGGCTTGGCAGCCTGAGCATTTTGTCTTCAGCTTTATATGACTGTCAGAAGGAAAGGGGCTTTCCTTCATCAGGGCATGCCCATCAGTATTGTCTTTATTGCTCATCTGGCTCATTGGCTGGGTGTTGTGTGCCCCACCCACTCTCACCCTGTTTTAACAGAGCCAGAGAAAGCAAGTTTCTGAAATCAGATTGTCCTGTTGGCCTAGACCTGTCATCAGTCCTCCTTTGGAGCTGGGCATGTTGTTACCCAAACAAAACTGAGATTTTCTTAGCAAGGAAGAGGGAGAGGGAGTGTCGCATAGCCGCCAACTGTGACTGCCGCGGCTTAAGGTGTGTGGTATGTCCTTTGCTCCATTCTTTCCAGTTCTAGAGATTTATCTGAAACTAATCATGGAGCAACACAGATTTATTTCCAAGGATGGTCAATGTAGTGATATTTAATCACTACAGCACTTAAATGTCCATTATATAAACAATGGCATGTCCACACAATAGAATATTATTAAGCCATGAAAAAAATTTACATCAAATGTCATGATGTAACATTAAGTGAAAAGACAAGAGTTAGAAAACTCTACTCAACAAGAGTCCAGAATGGTGGAATACATCTGCATCTATTCATCCTGGAAGGATAAACAGCCAGAAATGATGCATTTCTTTTCCTTAACCTCATTCTCTGGATTGTTGAAATATTCTATGATGAACCTATATTACATTTTACCTCAATTTTTCATTTCAAAAATATTTAAGTCTATAGAAAAAGTTGTAGTTGTAAGAATAACACAATGAACACCAGTTGTTACCATTTAGCCATATTTTTTGTGTCTTTCTATACAAATACATAGCTAGAATGTGATATATTTTGCTGAACCATCTGAGGATTACTTGAAAGTATCATGAAATTTTGCCTTTGAACATCCAACAAGTATGTTTCAAAAACAAGGACATTCCCTGTATAAATAAGCATAATATAAGCATCATACTCAAGAAATGTAATCCTGATTCAAGATTACTTTCTGGTGTATAGTCCATTTTCAGGTTTACACACTTGCCCCAATGCCCTTTATGGCTGTTTTTATTGTTTTGAGATCTGATGAACGTCTATGCAGTACATTCACTTGTCCTGCCTCTTTGGATACTTGAATCAAAACCCTTGTCCAGTTATTTGTTGTTTCCACAACACTGACATTCCAGACCAGTTATTTTGCTAACCATCAATTAGATTGTTTCCTCATGACTACATCCAGGTTAATTATCTTTGCCAGGAGATACCTTCTCAGTCACCAGGAGGGACCCTGTGCAAATCTGTCTCACTATTGGTACATTAATTTGGTGCTTGATTAAGATGGTGTTCACCAGATTTATCCATTGTGAGCATACCTTTCCCTCATTTCTAATGATTAATCTTAATCTAATGATCTAATAATTAAGTAATCTGGGCAATGATACTCTGAGATTGTAAATTCCTTGTTTCCCAACAATCTTTAAGCCAATGGTTCCAGTAAAGTATTTCCTTATCTATGCTGACTGCAAAACACTTTTTGTTGTTGAAATGAGAACATGATAAACATTTTAAGAAAGAATTTTTATTATATTTAGACCAATTGTGAGTGCTTTATCTAAAACCTTCTCTTCCATACAAGTCCATTAGAAAGGAGCACTTATTACAGATATTTGGGAACACAGAAAAGTAAAATGTAGAAAAAAAAATCAATAGTTCCAGGAACCAAGAAAATCATCAGTTTACTGAAGTTTTCTCATGTGTTGATGGCAAACTTACTCTCCCTTAGAAAGTCAGATGAGGATCCCATGAGCTTATTAAAAATGTTCTAGTACAATATTTAAATGAGGAATCCTTGTTTTTTCTTTCTCCATAGTTTGATAAATTATTCTTTCACATAATTTAGCATACTTGAAAAGATTATTGCACATTTTTCTACTTTATAATCTTTTGATAATTTTTAATTGTTGCATATTATTTCAATAAGCATTTCTACCATGATTTAATCAACACTTCCCTCATATTGTGGAATGTTTGTTTTAGATTTTAATCTATGAGAAATCACAGTTGGGCAGGTGGAGCCAAGATAGCGGTGTGAGTAGGACAGTGGGAATCTCCTCCCAAAAACATACATATTTTTGAAAATACAACAAATACAACTATCCCTAAAAGAGAGACCAGAAGACACAGGACAACAGCCAGACTTCATCCACACCTACGAGAACCCAGTGCCTGGTGAAAAGGGTAAGATACAAGCCCTGGCCCGGCGAGACCTGAGCACCCCTCACCCCAGCTCCTGGCGGGAGGAGAGGAGTCGGAGCGGGGAGGGAGAGGGAGCCCAAGACTGCTAGCCATCCGCACCAGAGTGCAGACACACAGTGCATGCGTGGGGTGCTGGAAACTAGGGAAGCAGGACAGTAAGACCTGTGAGCGGGTCCTGAAGTCGGCGCCCTTGTGACAAAGAAAAGCGAGTGCTTTTTGAAAGTCTTAAAGGGGCAGGGACCCCACAGCTGTATGGAAGAATCCCAGGTCACAGTCCAGCAGCTGGAAATTCCAGGGAACTCCAGGTGCACTAACCCCCTGGGCAACAGCTCTGAGACCCCTCATGGAGGTAAACAGCCAAACAGCCCCCCATCCGTTATCCCTCCGTGGCCCTGCCATAGCAGAGCAGAAGCCTGAGGCTGGCCACGCCCATAGCAAGGGAGCTTCCTTCATACCGGCCAGACAAGATACAGAGACCCAATCTACATGCAATTGCA